GAGTCACAATGGTGACAAACCAATGTTTTTAACCCTAGAGTGCAGACTTGGTGGATCCAAAAACTGCATAGGGCACATTTATCCACATTTCCTTTGGCTTTGAGCTGCCAAAAAAGCTTCATATAGACAACATGAAAGTTCTCAGTTCTATGTAAGGGCATGCTAAAATGTGTTACAACTTACCCCACCCCTGTCATCCAGTGTTTAGTTAGCTGTATTAGCATAATGGTTTGAAATGAGCAGTTTAAAAATGCATCACATTTTGCCTTAGAATCTACAATTTATTCTAATGTAAGTTATATGATTTTATCTGCAACAGTTTAAGTACTAAACAAAATGTAGTTTTCATCAAAAAATGTACATTCTTACATCAAAATCATTTTTTTCTTTATAAAATCTGCATATACCTATTTACAGCCTTAACAACCATTCATATAAGATTGGGGAGGAAGTGGGTAAATAATGAAATTATAGGACTCCTAGCTTATCCCTGATTGGTGGAAATGGTGTTGTTACAACTCTCCCCATGTTGCAACCATACCCGGTCTCCCCCTTGCAGACCTTCTTTTCTCTATAAAGCAACATGACCTTAATTTATGTTGACGCTATTCATATATAGTCATTTACTTTATTTAGTAAAAAAATAAAGAAATTATATGGTATTGAAAACAAATGAAGATGTTCTTGAACATTTCTGTCAGGACCACTATCGTCAAAGATGATTGACAATTAGCATACAGTTTGGATTGGCGGGATGGTTCTGTTCTGGGCAAGAACTCCCTGCGCATCCATGCAGCCTAGCATGGATGAGAGCAGGGAGAGCAGCAATAACCCCCCAGGGTAAACAGAACAGAACCAACATAAATGTATTGCAGATATCGTTAAAGTTCAATAATGTTATGTACACATTTTAGAATTAGTCTGATTCAAAGGAGAGTCAGAAGGCTGAATCCCGACTGACAGAGGCGGAGCTGGGGATGGAGGAGGGTAATTAGCTATTGAGCAATGCGAAAACTGCTGATAATACTGAGGGACCTTATATATGAATGCTTAGATAGGTGTTATATTCCCATAGGTTGATGGGGATCAGCTGAGAGTCAGCTGATGCGAGCTTGACTAACGTGACCTGCCAGAACTAACGCTACGCTTGATTTATACAAGCGATATCAGAAGGACAGCTAAAGAACATTGCGAAAGAAACGTTCAGTTTGTTTGCCAGATGTCCAAATTTCAGTCTGTGTCTTGAGTGTTTACATTGAGTGTATGCCAAAGTTGGACTAAAGTCTGTTAAACAACTAGATATGGTGCACTTTCTCTTTATAGTTCCAACATTACACAACAACATCTTAACATGCTCACATATGGACACGAACACACTAGTTTTAATTTAAACCATATTGTAAATTACTTCCTGCCAAGACATCAACAACGGTAAAAAATGACCTCTCGTTTCAATAAATGTGGTGTAATAAATGTGTTCTCTTTCTTCAGCCATTCAGTTTTGTGGTTTGATCACAACCATACACACTCTACCGACTTGTTTTACCAACCAATTTGGCACATTTCTTCTGTCCTACAAAAATGGACATTGTAAGTGACTGCTTTATCTGATGGGCGCAAAAATGGTTGCTTTTACTCTTATCTTGGATCTGTCCTGTAGTCTTCTGCAAAAATGTGTGTACTCACTGCTGTCTCTGTGCTTGAGAAGATGGATTACTTTTATTCTTATTACCATGTTAAAACCCTTTTATTTGTGCAATAAAATGCTTCTTTCCATTTGCTCTCATTATGTAAGACATTTGCCTTCTCCTAATCTTTTATTTTAAAAGTTTGTGATAAAAGCAAAAGCTATTTGTCTACATCAGGGTTCTATGTTCAAAATCAAAAAGTACATCATGTCCTCCTGCATAAATAACCTCGGGAGACAGGACTGATATGCAAAGGTCTAGTCTTCTGTCCAGTTGTGTGGAAGCTGCACTGCTTTATCACGTCAATTAATGTCAAGCTAATTCATTTTAAGTAAACACTGCACTCCCAACAACCTCAGTGGCCTGTCAGAGAACTGCTGCATTGACTAAGCAATGGACAGCTATCAGAGATCCACACAAACCAGACACAGGACAGATGCCAAATGTGCAGAGAAGCACTATTACATTTTTATGTTTCTCTCATATTTGATTTACATCTCCTGTAGCTCCCTTTTGCACATGCAGGGATATGTATGTCTTGAGAATAACACATGAAACTACATATAGTGAAGTGACGTGTGGCCAAGTATGGTGTCCCATATTCAGAATTTGTGTTCTGCACACAAACACCTCAATCTCGGTATTGAAGGTGGTTTTCCTGCCAGACCTGAAACTCAAACCCACAACCTTCGGGTTACAAGTCCGACTCTCTATCCATTAAGCCACGACTGCCCCACATATAAGGCCTTATATATTGTTTGCAAAATGATTTTAAATAGAAAGTATGCTAAAAGCTAGGCTACATAAAATGCTAAAAGGCTCTTATTAATTCCTACCAGTGGTTTGGAACTCATACTGACACCTATTGGCATGGAGGCATGCCATTTTTCTTTTCTTTTTTTCTTCTTTTTTTTTTACTATAACTGCGCAGCAAACTGTTTGTTTTTCTGTTTGTTTTCCTCCGTGTTTTCTCCATCTTATAGCACTCACATCTATAGATATTATTTAGATTCAGTCTCAACATAATATCTTGTGTTCAGGACAGTTTAGTAGACAGATTAGTAGTAGTAGAAACACAAATGTCTGTTGCAGGAAACAGCTGGTCATGTGATATAAGGCCGTAAGGGGCGACCTGCTCCATATAGATTCAAACAGCTGTTTCTAGAAGACTGATATGACTTGAATTCTCATATTACGTGAATGCATACCATTTTAATATTTCTTCAAATGCTGTTAATTTCTTAACGAGTAAAAGTGACATTTAAAAAAAATACATAATAGCACACACAAACGGATACTGAGAAATTAAGATATATTAATATTATTATCAGTTAAGTTGATTTAATAATAGGCCTATAGTTTTTTTTCGAGCAGTTAGGAAAGTTGCGCACACACACTCACAGAGCGAGTAGACGCAGGACGTAAAGCTTGACATCATTTCTCCTCAGTGCAATACGGAGTACTGTGTGTTCACCCACACTCGAGCTGAGAACAAGGTGGGTAAGTAGCCTAAACTTATCCCGCTTTCTAGGCGACTGCATCTGATCTTATACTAAACCCGTTTCAACTTCAACAGACCGAACTGAATATATACGAGAGAATCTGATGAGAGCAAGCGGTCTCAAATGAGTTAACGGAGTTCAGCAGCCGCCTCAAAGTTATGTTCTTTCTTTCGCTCTAACGTTACTTTTTTAACCCACACTTTTAGCTAACGCAATGCTAACCAGTCTCTTTTACTACTAAACAACAGGTTGTAGTTACAAGATTTATTTCGAGTTTAACACGATGATCCACCACCTAAAAGATTAAACTTGAGCTGAACTTCTAGAGGAAACGGTTTGAGTCTTTGATAACTTATCCATGTTTTTTAAACTTACACTGTTACCTTCCTAAATTGCGCATTAGAGATAATTGAAATCGTGTGCGGAAGTTTTAAAAGTAAAAGATACAACTTTTCATTTGGATGTAAACCATGGCCGTATCTCATAACTTTATGAGATGCCTACTTAGCTTTTTTTGGGCACGTAATCGTCGTTCAAGTGTTCGACCACTTGCGCCATATGATGGCCAAAAATGCTGTCTAGGAAGTAGCTGACGAGGTTTTGACACAAACTATGAGTGACTAAATGCACCAGTGGTTTAGAATAAATGGTTTTCGTCTAGACCAGTTATAATTTAATCACGTAGCCTAACACGTACTATTAATTCTAGTATAGAATACCTTTCAATTTGTGTGTGAATGAAGGGTTTCAGTTGAGTCAGTTCAAGTTCTGTTTCTTACCACAAGACGTTTACGAAAAAGTTGCTACAAAACGTTTTCCGAATTCTTCCCAAATACACACAATGAAGATCATTTAAAATACCAAGTTTACTGGACTAGAGATCTATCTAGGGTTGTTTCAGAGTTACGTTTTGTGTTGGTTGCAGCTGTCAAAAGCGTGCCATAGTAACGTCGACTCCCCCAAACTTGGTTATTGAAGAAAGCTGTAATAACAAACACAGTGGAACCTGGGAAACCTGTGAGGTTTTACAACTTTCTTGACAGCTTAATTTCACAAGTAATTTGTCATTTGTTTCCATTTTTACTTGCGTTTTTCTGTCATATACTTTTAGACTGACACAGCAGTGTGGTTACACTGTAAAGATATATTTGCTGTACAAAACTGGCAAGCTATGGAACTTTACTGTAAAAATACAGTGATCAAGCGTTTTGGTGACTGTATAATTTACAGTTCTTAAATTATATAGTGTATGTATAGCAAATTATATAGTAGATGTATTGTGGATTAAAATACAACATATAACTTAAAGTTTTACAATATTTTGTGAAAGTATATTGGCTTAAATTAAAGTAATTCATATTTTGACTACTTAATACAGTAAAACGTATTAATGTATAAAAGTATTGGAAGTATGTTTTGTCAATTGAAATATAATATTTTTTGCTGTATACAGAAAGGTAACGTACAGTCAGTGTTGGGTGTAACGCGTTACTGTAATTAAATTACTTATCCACTGAAAAAGTAAAGTAAGGTATTACTGTTCATTTTTAGGTCATTTAATTACAGTTACTTATAAAATACTTGCTTTACATACTGTAAATAATTTAAACAGTTCTAAAATCAAAATGTGTGTTTTTAACGTAAACTTGTCTGTGAATGAGAACTTCGTTTAGTACTCACATGCTGTGTGATGGCCGCTTTCTGTGTGTGTGCTTCAGATGTGTGCTCTCAGAAAACCATATATCAGAAGTTTAAACTCATATGGTTTAAACCGCATGATTTCAGCGCGATAAACATGATAATCAGAACCAAAACAGATGTTTTTTAGCAGGTACGAGCTGTAATGAATCAATATTGAATTTGAAATCTAAATTTACAGTCTAAAGATAAAATTGAATGCAGCGTCTTTAACCCTCTGCGCGCCGGCGTGTTCACTTTCAGTTTTTCCTGATTGACAGAGAAACCGTAAAGGTGACATATCATGAAAATCTGACTTTTCCAGGTTTTAAGTGCTATATAATCAGGTCCCCGGTGCATCTACCAACCAAGGAAACGTGAAAAAGTTTAACCCTGTAACTTTGTTTTGGTAAGCCTTTTTCTGCAAGCAGACAGGCCCGAAAAACAGCGTGTTTCTGCTTCCACTCAAAATAGGCATTTTCAAAATGATATAATACATGATCTGTGGAGTATTTTGAGCAATGAGTAATTCACAGACACATTCTGGGGACACCAGAGACTTATATTACATATTGTAAAAAGGGGCATAATATGTCTCCTTTAAATACTCGGATACAGATAAGACTAAAATCAATCGAATCTAAAAAGGGCCTATTTTTATTTGTGTACACTGACAATAACAACAAAACATTTTGCTTTTGTAAAATAAATCAAACAGGGTGCGCTTTCTGGCGTCTATGTCTCCATGAGCAACTTTCTACGCAACACAAACTCAGCGAATACTTGACACAGAGACATGAGAAATATGTCTATAAAAAGCTTGAAGTGTCTACTTTTAAATTAACGAATTCAAATCGAAAACGAATATTCTCTGATTATGTAATCCGTATGAAACTAAAGCGAGGTACAGTCTTTCCCGTATATGAGCTCATTATTTGCAGTCACCTGCACGCAAACGCCCTCACCTAGATACAAAAAATAGATTAAAAAAAAATCAAGATTCATCTCATTTTCATAGTTTTTGAAAGAAGACCTGCTATGAGGAATAAGCCCGAATTTACCTCAGAAGAACGGCTCGATCTGACGCAGCTTTATTCAGCGGAGGAGATCATTTCTGAAGTGTATTCTTACCTACATTAGTTAACGTGTTATTTTTACATAAACCTGTATGGATTTTACTAGTTGGGCTTTTCCTGAACATCTTGCAAAACTGAAATGTATTGTTTAACCTTTCTTAAGCTTTTTTGTTATTCAGATATTTTGCAGAGTATTTCTATTTTTTAACCAAATAAGGTTACATTTTTTATAAAAATGTTTAAGTATTGCAGTTGTTTTAAAGCTAAAAGGCTAAGCTATTCTATGTTTGACTCAAATTGAAAGAATAAAGAGATTAGCTTGTATTGTCTATGCTTTAAGGTTTATAGGGATTTTAAGATGTAGCCTAATTAGCTATTTGAATAATTAAGTTACTTATTGAGTAACTAAATTACTTTTCAGACAGAGTAATTGGTAAAGTAATTTAAATACAATATTGATGATGTAATAGTAATTAATTACTTTTTGAAAGTAACTTACCCAACACTGCGTACAGTTAACTGTGTAACAGGTTTTTACAGTAGCATTTTTACAATGTTTTATATTGGTAAAATGTAGTACCTTACAGTGTGGCTATTCCAGTTTCTTAAGATCAGTTTTAGAGGAAACGGAAATGAGAGGCACCCTTGTTTTGAATTCTGAAAGATATTCTGGCTATCAGAGAGGCTGATAAGTGTGCTATGCTTACAGTAATATTGTGGGGGATGGTGGGCTTGGGTATTTTCCTTCCCTTGTTGAGGGAACCACAACACACGCACCACAACACACGCATCTTCACAACTGCGAGACCGACTTCACAGGAAATGTGAGACCCCAAAAGCCCCTCTGCCCTTAGCAGTCCACTCCACACCTTACTTGAAACTCGCACTGTAGTGTTAACATGGCCTGACTCTTTAACATGCCTTGAGCAAAACAAGCCTCTCACACTTCTGCCAGTTAAAAAGCTTTGGCTGGTATCCAAGGCAAGTCTTTTAGAGCAAGGTTTCTCAGCACCTCAGCAGTTTTGATTGCTGTTTCGTAATTACTAATTTTGTTTCTGGTGTTTGTTTTAGGAAATAAAAATGGAATGGAAACCTTGGACACTGTTTATGCTTGGTAACACAGGAGAATGTTTATTTCATTTGCGTGAGGATGCCTCAGTCTCGACTTTTGCAGACACTCTTTGTAAGACACTGATGGTGAAACGTGCACCACAATTTTCAGATTAGAAGTCAGATATATTTTGTCAAATGCAAGATGCTTCGACTCAAATTTACTGTAGATAACTAGATTACAATCAGCGGTTAACATTTTAAACACCCAGTTTTGTAATGCAAGACATGGTTAGTTGACTGGCCTCTGTTTCTGTGTAGGTAGTGTTAAAGGGGTCATATGATGCGATTTCAGTTAAATAATGTTATTTTTAGCAGCATCATATGACCCCTTTAAATTATGGCTCCAGTCAAATTATTTACCTTATTTTTGTTCTTCTAACATTTTTCTTTTATTTAATTTATATATATATAATTTAACCAACAAATGCAGTATATAGAGAAAAGAAATGAAGTGAAGAAAGAAAAAAGTTTAAATTCATTATTATTATATTATTTTAATTATATATTTTTATTCTATAATTGTATATTTCAAGAGAACTTACATTACAATAGTTAAATAACAACCAAACCATGGTGGAAATGTATTATATTATATTATATTGCATACATTTTGCATTAAAAGCCGCTTGTGATGGGATTAAGAACAATAATTTAATTATTTAAAATCTTATGTGTAAAACCTTATGTATTTACTTAAACTATGTTCTCAAAACTCATAACAAGGCACAACGTTTTCAGATGACGCCAACTTTGGATCGACATACAAAACTGTCTAATATTCTTATATTGTAGTCTTTGTAATTATATTGTAATGAGTTGTAATTGCTACTTGACACATTTGTTGAGTAACTAACCACATAACATACAGTGCCGTGAAAAGGTTTTTGCCCCCTTCCTGTTTTTTAAATTTTTTGCATATTTGTCACACTTAAAAGATTCAGATCATCAAACCAATTTTAATATTACGCAAAGATGTGCCAGGCAGGTTTGGACAGCTTTTTTCCCTTAATAAATGAAATCATAATTTCAAAACTGCAGTTTGTATTTACTCAGGTTATCTTTGTGTAATATTAAAATTTGTTTGATGATCTGAATCTTTTAAGTGTGACAAATATGCAAACAATTAAAAAAACAGGAAGGGGGCAAAAACTTTTTTCACACCACTGTATATTAAAGCTGTATGTTACTACCATATGTGTGTTACCCTGATAAACTATATCTGGTAGATAACCGAATAGTTCCTGATTGTAGGACAGAAACAAGCATTTTCTTTAAAGTGGCTTTGACACAATATGTATTGTGAAAAGCATTATAAAATTAAACTTAAATTGAATTGAAAGATTTGTTAATGAAGATCACAATGCACTATATTTATAGAAAGGTTCCCCCTCAACATGCAGTACGCCAGTTAGCCATCTCCATTGTCTTTAGAGAATCTAGTTTCATTTGGTCCTTTCCAAATCCTGAGATTGTATTCACAGCCCTGATAGTTCTGAAAGGTTATGCCATTTATCAACTACTGTTTGCTTGAAGTGGTTGCCTTCCAAACCCAGTACGTACCTCAAGGCTTACACAGAAAGTTTGGGCAGAAGTCCTGTGAAAAGGGGTCCCTTTTGCTGAGTAAAGGGCACATTTTAATGAGCAATCAAACCGGAATAGTTTGGCACTCATTGAGGAGCCTCTAGTTTCAGCAATATGAGAGTCCCAATTGACATTGGTTTGCAAATGAATGAATTCAGCTGAAAAACTATGCAACTAAAAAACACACAGCAGGTTTTCATTGTGGCGGTTCTATCTGTTCTTTGACCATGCAAAGGCAGATTAGGCAGAAGTGTTGATCCACGGTAAATTGGCAGGGTATCAAGACATTGACATTTGCTCTATTTTCAGATTGTGATAATCACTGTTATCTTTAGAAGAACGTCACAATATGCAGGCTCCCCACGTCCCAGTGCAAATATTACTTTGGTCTAATATATTTAGATCATGCTGTCGTTGCCACATTCAACTTGTGTTGATACGGTGTTTCCAGTCGCTCTGCTGGTTTTGTTACTGGTTTTATCGGTTTGGCTTTTAGTTGCTCTATATTTAGAGCAATATATTAGGGAAACTAATATGTCTTTCTAGTGCACTACAGCTGTTGTAATTCCTCTTAGTTTAGCTTGTTTTTCAGCTTAAGCGAATGAGAACGTTCTGGATTCATCAGCTCTGGATTGGTTACTTTTAGCTCATTTTGAGCATAGTTCACTTTGAGTAATGAACGGTGGAGGAGACTCGTCTGTACCACCACTTTGCTGACTAGGTAGGTTTGGCACGCTGGCCTGAGATGTAATTCTGTTTGGTCTGTATTGAGACAGCTGTCTGGCAGAGAGAGACGGTTCTTCCAAATCAGCTGAATGTCAGCTGATCCCACATCCCCCACCCCATTACCAGCGTCTCCCTGCTCCACTGGACACGGCTCCCTAACTGACGAGGGAAGTCTGGGACTTCCTGTTTAGCATACAGGATCAAATTTCAGCCCTGCTCTGCAGTCACTTTGACTGTGGTTTCCGGGGTAGCCTTTTTTTTCTTTCAAAGTAAAGTGGCTGTTTCAAGGATGCTTGTTAAGGAGATCAAGCAGGCTATTTTAAGTACCATGGATCAAGTACAAAGCTCTAGACTGGGAATTGTGGGAGTAGTTGAGTTTGACAGTCATCAATCTAAAGATGGATTGCTGCATCAGTGCGATTGGTCCAACGCAGTCAGCGGCGCTTTATTTATGTAGTTCTTCATTGTGGATGTGGTGGGGGTGCGAGGCCGGGAGGTTCAGCCACTTTCTTGCAATCTCAGCAGGAGGCAACAGTTGTAGCTTTTCTGCATCTTGTCTTGTATTAGCTATATGTTTTTGAAGAATAAGTCGACAGACAGACTTCCTTTTACATCAATTCATCATGACTGAAGGTGAAAACAGGATTGTGAAGCTAAATGATTCTTTCATTTAGCACTGCCTCAAAGAGTGAGTTTCGTAAGTTGACTTTAATAGGATGATTCACAAAAAAGTGGAAATTCTGTCATTGTTTACTCAACCTCACGTACTTCACATGACCTAATTTCTTCTGTATAACACAATTAGAGGGGGAAAATACTGTGATCCTTGCTCTGTTCCATGCAGTTACAAGAAATGTGGACTGTAGCTTCAAAAAAGATCGAAAAACACCTTCAAAGTAGTTAATATGGTTTCATGTGAGGAAGTGGCTAAACTTTAAGCTGTTATTCACTGAAATCTAGCTAAACTTGAGTAACAAGATATGATTTGTGATAGAGCTGCATGATTAATCGTTAAAAGATCACGATCTCGATTCTGACACCCACGCGATCTCATTTCTAAATGACAACGATTGCCTGAGTCTGTAACAAGATATGATTTGTGATAGAGCTGCATGATTAATCGTTAAAAGATCACGATCACGATCTCGATTCTGACACCCACGCGATCTCATTTCTAAATGACAACGATTGCCTGAGTCTATTAAACCTTTGACAAAGCCTTACCGGATCATTCAAATCTGAGTTCGCACTGCTGCTGACACAGAGAGAGCAGTTACCATGTTTGGTTAAGAAACATGAATTTCATGAAAATGATTCTCAATTTATCCAGAATCGTGCAGCTCTAATTTGTGATCAGGGCTGGGTAGTAACTCGTTACATGTAATTTGGATTGTGTAATCAGATTCCAAAAATGAAGTACTTGTAATTAGGGTATATTGCATTTTAAAATGCTCATAATCCGATTACAATTACTTATTTATTGATTACATGATTATATATTATTTACACAATGGCAGTAAATAATTCATAATTTATTAATTCTCCCTAATTCTTCTTTTTTCCTCTTAAATTTTCCTTTCTAAAAATCCTACTGTGTGTCATACTATTCAGCTTTGTTGTTCACAAAGAAAGAAAGAAAGAAAGAAATATTTCAAGGAATATATTTTCGATATGGTATGTTTAATGGTAAGTTTAAAACAAGTTTAATTAAAAGTAATCTAAAAAGTAGTCAGAATACAATACCTAAAATGAGTAAGCTAGATTACGATACTAACTACAGTTTTCATTATGTAATCTGTAATTAGTAACAGACTACAATTTGTAAGTAATCAACCCAGCACTGCTTGTGAGTGAATTATTTAGACCAGTTTTGAAAGGTGAAGTAGTTCATTGGTGAATCAGAATGAAATCGTGAAAAGAAAAGAAAAAAACATTCTAAATGTTGATGTTCTTCTATATTTTTCAGGAATGAGGAGCTTTGGCAGCAGTGGGTGCTACGTTAGGATAAATGCGGAATGAAATATGAGCAGAGACGCTTACAGCTGTACAGACAGGAAGTGAAGCTGTTTTGCCTCCGACTCATTTCCTTCACTGAATTGAACACTTAGAACCACATGTCTGTCTCTTTTTAGCATGTTCCACTTTGAGGACTTGTGCTTGAGCTTTGCAAAATCATGACAGGATGGACAGATAGAACAAGGCCATAATGGACAATCCTGGATCGAAAATCCTGTCATTTTCCACCTCAGAGGCCATTTTGTTTTGTAAAGCAACTCATCATAGACCATAAAACCCACAATCCATTTGGCAGGAACAAGCCAAGCCAGAAGTGAATTCCTGTTACTTTGGTGGTTCCTTTAAATCTTTTCTCTGGAAATCCACCCCGAGGTTTAGTCTGTCTTAACCATGATGTTGAGAAGAAAACTGTACTTAGGCACTTTGCTAGGTGCTATTTTGTTTTTAATGATAGCTGCTCACACCATTCAGAAGGCCAGTGTTGTGCCCATCACAGATTTACCCACTCATCACGATTTCAGGATACCAATGAAGAACCAGACACAGTTACAGATGGTTGTCACAGAGCCAAGACGAGGTCATTCCTGTAGCTGTCCTTCCTGTATAGCAGACAAGGGTGTGTCGGAGTGGTTTGACCAACACTATGATCATAAACAGCAACCTTACCTCACCGGCAGGGATGATGACATAGATCCACTTTCTCTGAAGTGGTGGCTGGTAAGTGGCACATTGATGGTTTAAGTTCTGCATTTCGTTCGTCTAAGGCTGCCAGTCATTTTTAAATTCAAATGAAATGAATTGCATGATATGTTGAATAATTAATCAAATAATTCACATTCATCTCAATGTTTGCCCCCAAATGAAGATGATTCAAACATTTTTATAATCCATTAATAAATATTCTTACGGAATGGAGTATCTTTTACTACTGCGTTGTGGCGCCCTGTTTTTTTAAATGCATAAACGGAAGAAATGCATTTAAAAATGCATTTAAACGGAAGAAGCAACGGATCATTTATTCCATATGTTGATATACATTCTGTTGTAACAAATGGATGAATAATTCACAATAAGAGCAATAACTTACAGTTAGAAAATTGATTATTTGCATTTTGAAAAACACGCTAAAACACAATGAAAAAAATTGCAGTGCTGTGGCTAGCTACTGTTAGACCACATCCTGATTTACAATGTCAATAGTTATTGTGAAGTAGTTTTTTCAGATCCATTTTCTCACCAAAATGCTACTGATGTGGCAGCTTTGCCTATGTCTCCACTAACTTGGGAGCTGAGCAATGATAGAACTGACTACATTACTGCATAACCTACTCATAAACAATCATGCTTTTCGTTAATCACTATACTCTTAAATTTGAGAAAATATTTAGAAATAATTTAAATGTATCCACCTGATTCTTCAATGCGGAAGTAAGACTATGGGCGAGAGTTCCGGTTTATTAGCCGCTATAGGGAAATAACGAGAAGAATAACAACATGCAGTAAATGGTCAAACTGTTTGCACTACACACCAGTGTGTTCATAATTAAGAAAATACATTAAAATAATATGGCAAGACACCAGTTTGCAATATCAAGCAGCAAAATGAGCGGTTTTGAGATAAGACCGAAAGCCAGACCCATAAAATTTAGAAATGGCCGCGCCTGCTCTTGCAGGAAAATTAAGGTAGATATGTGTTAAATAGATTTAATTGTATATATTAAAAATTATTTAATGCAGTGTATTTGACATTTTATGTAGTGTCATATACAGAGGCGGACAAAGTACTCAACTCCATTACTTGAGTGAAAGTACAGATACTGCTCGTCAAACATTACTCCATTACAAGTAAAAGTTGTAAAGACAGATTTTTACTTAAGTAAAAGTACAGAAGGACTTGCTTTTAGAAGTACTTAAGTACCAAAAGTAAATTTCCTTTATGTCAATGCACTGTTTTATTGTTGTACGTAGTAGTACTTGCAATACTTCTGAAGCAAATTAGAATACATTTCACCTGCTGAATACACTGACTAGCTTGTAGTATATTTGGAATAAAGAGCTTTTAGAATGTTTCCAATTTTTTGAGGAGGGACTGCCTCCCTTGCCTCCTCAGAGGACACGCCCCTGATCAGTATCCTGCCTCTTGCGTTTGTACATTGTGTGAAAATTGCAGTTTTTTTTTATTTTCTCTTTTTCTGATAGTGTAAGTATATTTAAACAAGAAAATGTGACTGGGACATGAATTAAAAAAAACAACAACAACAGAGGACTTTGCCTCATTTCAGAACACCACTGCACACCGCTGAATGCGCTGATGTAGATTTATGTAGATTTAGTTTTCCAATTTCTATAATGAGTTGGACAGTTAATGTTGGATTAGTTCCTAGATTCATTTGCTAGTCTCTAGACAGCCATTGGCCTTTCAAAGAGACGGAATAGCTCTTGGGATTCTTAGGCATGCCTCTAAAGTCGAATCATCATAGCTAGATATCATTTTCCCTTTCTGGCACATGGACATGTCAGGGTAAGACAACAGCTGGTGTTCACTACCATCATATCTGTTTGCCAAACATCATTAATGCAATGGCGGTGGATCCCCAGAGCTGCAGTCATTATCTGGTTTCCTTAAAAAAGTAATTCTCCCTAGGGAACAAGGGCACAAGTAGGCCCTTCGGCCCTGCCATGTGTTTCAGTAAGGTTTAATTTAGCCTAATTAAAGGCTTTCAGGCTTTTGCAGGCTATGGGAGGAGCGTACTCGGATAAGCTTGACATTGGTGTGCCTCAAGAGTTTTGAGTTTTCACATGGCACATAAGAAACATTGGACAGTATTTTTTAGGGGTGAAATCCAGGGGCATCATGCACTCATTATTGCTGTTTACACTATGAGATTAATATCTTACAGATTCGTACACACATTTGCACTTTGTTTCTGACGAGAGAATTCGCCAGAAAGAGGTATTCAGTCAGCAAGCGAGTGAAGAAAACACCGGCATTTTAGCGATGACTAATCTGAACACCTCTGATTGGTCACTGCATTCATAAGCTCAACGGCATCGTGTGTGATTGGTTATAATGTGCAGCGCTGTAAAAACCCGTCTGTATCTGGCTTAGCGCCAGCCTGCGAACGAACACAGATTTGAATTTAGCAGCTGATGATATGACGCACTGAATGTTCTAATCACGCCGATGTGATTGTATTAAATATAGAAAATATTAATAGGCTATTTTTTTGTTTTTTGGAAGCTGCATTCAAAATCCATTTGGCTCAAAAATCTGAGGGGGCACGTGTAATTATAAATTAATTAGTTTACTGACTTTGTAAAATTTATTTGTGCATTTTTATTAAGTTATTTATTTTTATTTAAGTTATGGTTTTAAAGCCCAAGATTGGCCTTGTATTTTGCGTACACCATGAAACATTATACAAGTTTATATACTTATTCTATATTGTGTGTTTGTGTGAGAAATCAGAATATGACTCTAAACTAGGGCTGCACGATAAATCGTATGCGATATTTAACGCGCATCTTATCAGTAAAGCCGGTTCTGTAATCAGCGGTAAATCGCCATCACGTGCGTGCTTTCACATTGAGCAGCATTAACTACACAGAGCCGTTGTTCAACAGAACCGGCTTTCTGACAAGATGTGCGTTAAATATCGCATGCGATTTATCGTGCAGCCCTACTCAACGCACACAAGTGCCATCGCATGTATATAGGAAAAAAACTTACCTAGGAATCAATTCTGAAAATTTCAAAGACCTCTACTGTTTTCTGCATATACAATAAGATTGGAATACAGGTGCATCTCAATAAATTAGAATGTCGTGGAAAAGTTCATTTATTTCAGTAATTCAACTCAAATTGTGAAACTCGTGTATTAAATTCAGTGCACACAGACTGAAGCAGTTTAAGTCTTTGGTTCTTTTAATTGTGATGATTTTGGCTCACATTTAACAAAAACCCACCAACTCACTATCTCAACAAATTAGAATACTCCATAAGACCAATAAAAAAAACATTTTTAGTGAATTGTTGGCAATCTGGAAAGTATGTTCATTTACTGTACATGTACTCAATAACTTGGTAGGGTCTCCTTCTGCTTTAATTACTGCCTCAATTCGGCGCGGCATGGAGGTGATCAGTTTGTGGCACTACTGAGGTGGTATGGAAGCCCAGGTTTCTTTGACAGCGGCCTTCAGCTCATCTGCATTTTTTGATCTCTTGTTTCTCATTTTCCTCTTGACAATACCCCATAGATTCTCTATGGGGTTCAGGTCTGGTGAGTTTGCTGGCCAGTCAAGCACACCAACACCATGGTCATTTAACCAACTTTTGGTGCTTTTGGCAGTGTGAGCAGGTGCCAAATCCTGCTGGAAAATGAAATCAGCATCTTCAAAAAGCTGGTCAGCAGAAGGAAGCATGAAGTGCTCCAAAATGTCTTGGTAAACGGGTGCAGTGACGTTGGTTTTCAAAAAACACAATGGACCAACACCAGCAGATGACATTGCACCCCAAATCATCACAGACTGTGGAAACTTAACACTGGACTTCAAGCAACTTGGTTTTTTTTATTGGTCTTATGGAGTATTCTAATTTGTTGAGATAGTGAGTTGGTGGGTTTTTGTTAAATGTGAGCCAAAATCATCACAATTAAAAGAACCAAAGACTTAAACTACTTCAGTCTGTGTGCATTGAATATATTTAATACACGAGTTTCACAATTTGAGTTGAATTACTGAAATAAATGAACTTTTCCACGACATTCTAATTTATTGAGATGCACCTGTAGTTTGGATAGCCAAAACTTCTTTCCTTTTAACATTAAAAATGTAAAGATTAGTAGCTTGAAATTTGGAGGCTAGCTTTATAAGTTGTATTTATCATATTGTTTTGTATAGTCTTTGCAGGCATCTGATGGAGTGATCAAGGACGTCACCCAGAAGATGTTTAAGATCATTTCACCTCCACATGAGAACGAAATGCCACAGCAGAGCCAGTGCCGGAAGTGTGCAGTTGTTGGAAACTCTGGGAATCTGTTGAAGTCCAAATATGGAGCCTTGATAGATTCGCACTCAGCTGTTATTAGGTCTGTTTTCTACTCTTTGTATGTCTGGTCTAAACTTTTATAAAAAGAAAATTAATCCGTTAAAATGGACAAAAAACTATATTTTGATAGATATCTTTTTGTCTATACACTGAAAGTCAAAGGGGTTCAAAACAACCCTGGACCCCATTGACTTTCATTGTATTGACAAAACGATATTTAAAAAAATATATATATTTTTTTGTGTTCGTTTAAAACACTACTGTTTCACCTAAAAAAAACAGTAATTAAAATGTTAATACTGATGTTGACTTCAAAAGTATCTGAGAGTAAATGATTCAGCTTTTTACATTTTTTAATTTTTTTATGTAACAGCCAATAAGTGCAGGAGTTTTTTTACTAATGCATTTTGACTGGAATGTCCCACAGAATGAATAAGGCCGTAACTGTGGGTTTTGAAGAGGATGTTGGTAACCGGACCACCCACCACTTCATGTACCCAGAGAGTGCGATCGATCTGGGACCTGGTGTCCATCTCGTCTTCCTTCCCTTCAAACTGAAAGACATGCAGTGGTTGTCCAGTGCCCTTTCCACAGGAGAGATCAAAATGTATGTCAGAATCTTTCTGAAAATTACAAAACATACACTACCAGCCAAAAGTTTTTGAACAATAAGATTTTTAATGTTTTTAAAGAAGTCTCTTCTACTCACCAAGCCTGCATTTATTTGATCCAAAGTACAGCAAAAACAGTAAAATGTTGAAATATTTTTACTATTTAAAATAACTCTTTTCTATTTGAATATATTTTAAAGTGCAATTTATTCCTGTGATTTCAAACCTGAATTTTTAGCATCATTACTCCAGTCACATCATGATCCTTCAGAAATCATTCTAATATTCTGCTCAAAAAACATTTATATTATTATTATTATGTTGAAAACAGCCAAGTAGAATTTTTCAGGTTTCTGATTAATAGAAAGTTCAGAAGAACAGTATTTATCTGAAATCTTTTGTAACATTATAAATGTCGTTATCATCACTTTTGATAGTTATTTTAAATAGTAAAAATATTTATCAATATTACTGCTTTTGCTGTATTTTGGATCAAATAAATGCAGGCTTGGTGAGCAGAAGAGAATTCTTTTTTTTTAAAAACATAAAAAATCTTACTGTTCAAAAACTTTTGACTTGTAGTGTAGATTATAAGTAAAATCGCACTAAAATTATTTCCCTCACTCTTTGCCAAAACTATTTGTATATCCCAAACAGGACGTACATGAGAGTGAAAAATCGTGTAGAAGCTGACAAAGACAAGGTGAGTGTTAATCACGCTAAAGCTTGTAAATCCATAAATGCATCCGTTTGTTAAGCCTAACTCATCCTACCGTGTGTGCTGTCCAGGTGATAGTTGTAAATCCAGCCTTCTTTAAATACACACATGACAAATGGACAGAGCGTCATGGACGGTACCCGTCCACCGGGATAGTAGCCATTATATTTGCTCTGCATCTCTGTGATGAGGTTTGTACTTGTATTTACAGCCAAGATAACAATTTCTGCGTCATCAAGACTATTCTCACTGACGATGTTCAATCCCAACAGGTGTCAGTGTTTGGATATGGGGCAGACAAGCAAGGAAACTGGCACCACTACTGGGAGTACAACAGATACGCCGGCGCCTTTCGAAAGACGGGCGTCCACAATGCAGATTTCGAGACTGAGATCATTCAGAGGCTCAACAAAGAGGGCAAAATCAAACTCTACAGATGAGCCTGTAATTGTGGCCATCATTGACTCAGTACTGCTCAAAGCCAGGATGTGCAGCAGCTGTATGGAAGCCAAAGAGACGCAGATCTGCGATCCACCCTACCATTAATTGACCACTGTGAACTGCACTGAACCAAACCCATAGACATCAAGACCAAATTAACTTCTGTTCTTTCACTTGCTTTGTGCCTGAAGAAAAGACGGATGTTTGCCTTCCTTCCGGGCATTGAAACTTCGAAGATGACAAAAAGTAAGCAAAACGGCTTGATGTGAGCCTCCTTATATTCTTCTTTCTTACTGCAACTGTTCTGAATAGCCTCACACAGTGTCTGTACTGCAAATGTTCAAAACTAGTTTCATGTATAGTCAACAAAGCTGTCTGCACTGCAATGGCATTTAAGCCTTAAAGTCAACATGAAGCAGAATTCACAACCCAGCAACAGAATATTAGATGAGAGGGGGCGGGGCTTGATTTTATCTATTGGTAATTGATTGGATCATGAAAAATGGGTGTTAAATACCAGATTGGACCATCTGTTGTTTGGTTGGGAGAGTTTTACGTCAGCCGAAAAGGAAATGTGTTTCGGAGGCCAAGCAAGCTGTTAAATTTTGATGAAAGCTTATTAAAACAGACAGTTTTATTAGAAATAGCATGTAATGATAAATCAGTATTAAAAGGATAGTTCACCCAAAAATAACTTTTTCTTCACATTGGAGAACATAGGGGTTCAAACAATATTGGACCCCATTGACTTTCATTTCATGGACAAAAATGAAACGTTTTTTTTTTTTTCCAAATATATACTCTAGTCAACATTTGAAGTGGATCAAAACCTTTCATCAA